AATAAGAGGGCTTTCCCCCCCACCCCCACTCCCCCACCTCTGCCTTATTGCACATGTGCAGAGTTATGAGCTGCCTCGCTTGTACGTTTGCTCCATCCAAAAGGTCTCAAGAGCAAGCGGTGCAGTTTCCATACAGCCATAGCAAATGTGTTTCCAGATGGCTGGTTTCTTCTCCCCCCCATAGCAGTTGGATGCTCTGCTTTTTCTACGGGTTGCTTGCGTTACAGCCATGCCTGCCTACAGCTCCAAGGGTCTTGTGCAGGAGTCTGTCGATATCATACATTTGCAGCAGTGGCGGGATTCAGATATGTGAACCACTGGTTCTCTGTGTGGATGCCGCTTCCGGAAGTCCATTCTGGGCCTGGGCAACAAAAAATTAGCTACCGGTTCTGCCAAAGTGGTGCGAACCGGCTGAATCACACCACTGATTTGCAGGCCTAAAACGTGATGGCCAACAATAGTTAGTGGGCAATCTTTGGGGAACTAAGATAAAATAGATAACTTTTATTGTCACTTTTCTGGGTGCGCACTGGCACCCATTAAAATGAAATTCTGATGCCCGCTCTCAAAAGAAAATATATACTGAATGTATATGTATATGTATATGTATATGTATATACACACACCCATGCATATACATTCACAATAACATATACTGTATACACACATATATATATTAATTTAATTTAATTAACACTTAATTTCATTGTGAGTGACACAATGACAATAAAGATATTCTATAAAATCACAGTCCATTTTTAATACATAGCGGAAAGAAGAGTCTTGAGAGTTAACAAGGTTGGTACAAAACTATTACAGAATCTAGTTATTCTGCTCCAGATACCACAAAGCCTCCTCCCAGAAGGTAACAGCTAAAAAAGCAATTATCACAGGAGCTGCCACAAAGATTCCAATTTCTGCTGAAGCCTTAATAAGACCACACTTGGAATACTGCATCCAGTTTTGGTCACCACAATATCAAAAAGATGTCGAGACTCTGGAAAGAGTGCAGAGAAGAGCAACAAAGATGATTAAGGGGCTGGAGGCTAAAACATACGAAGAACAGTTGCAGGAATTGGGTATGTCTAGTATAGTGAATAGAAGGACCAGGGGTGACATGACAGCAGTGTTCCAATATTTGAGAGGGAGTCAACCTATTTTTCAGAAGGCAAGACAAGAAACGATGCAGGGAAACTAAACAAAGAGAGAAGCAACCTAGAACTAAGGAGAAATTTCCCAACCATGAGAACAATTAACCAGTAGAGCTCCTTGCCTGCAGAAGTTGTGAGTGCACCATCACTGGGGGCTTTTAAGAAGAGACTGGACAGCCCCTTGTCTAGAATGGTATAGGGCAGTGGTTCTCAACCTTTTTAATGCTGCGACCCCAACCGATCGTAAGTCGAGGACTAAACCGGTCGTAAGTCGAGGACTAAACCGGTCGTAAGTCGAGGACTAAACCAGTCGTAAGTCGAGGACTACCCAACCGGTCGTAAGTTGAGGACTTTCCCTGCCCGGGAGCGCCGCACATGCGTGGTTCCGCCCCCTGCGCCGGCCAAGGCGTAGCTGGCAAGCGGCAGAGACGGAGCAGGCCGACCACCAGCTGGCCCAGCCCAAGGGAGGTAAGGCACCCGCCGGAAAAGGGGGAAAAAATGGCGGACAAAAAAAATGGCGGACAGCCTTGCTTGGCGACCCCCATGAAATGGTCGATCGACCCCAAATGGGGTCCCGACCCACAGGTTGAGAACCACTGGTATAGGGTTTCCTGCCTGAGCAGGAGGTTGGACTAGAAGACCTCCAAGGTCCCTTCCAACTCTGTTATTCTGTTCAGATGGAATAATATTAACTGCCATTCAAGAGCAAATATTTTTTCCTTGTGACTCGTAGTAGAAATCTCATAGCTTAAAGCAACATTTTGCAAGGCGGGTTGAAATTAAGGTGTCTTAAGGTATTCCTGCAAATAAAGCAACTTAAATGAATGCCAAGTCTCTGGATGGTTTCCTTGGCTCAAATTTTCTCATTGTGTTTCAAGAGCAGTTGTGCAAGAGTGAGGATGGGAGGTTTTCGGTAGTACTGCTGTACACATTGCATTCATTTGCAGTGGAGGGGGAGATAGCAAGGAAGCAAATTCTTGGCTCATCTGAGCAGCTATTGTTGATGTTTTTGGAAAGATGCTCCAGCAAAGCGCATTTTCCAGATGTCCTTTTTTAAAAAAAATCCTAATCCGAAGCACAACTCCATACAGCAGGCCACCATCATCAATCTGAACTGTATTTTAGGCAGAGTATTGTACCCTTTCCGTTCACGGAATCCTCTTTAATTTCATTTGGATATACATTTTAGGTGTCATTTCTTGCTCACTCGGGGAGCGATGTGAATAATTATGTTGCATTCCATAGTTTCCATAGGAGAAATGATCGAAATCACACCTGTTGTGAATTCCAGTGGATTCTCTCACGGATGTGGCAACAGTTTAGATGGTTTTCAAAGGAGCTTCAAGCTGTCAATGGCTACTAAGCTTCATGGCTTATTGTTATTTCTGGAATTATAGGCAGCAGATCTTAAATGTCACACTCGAGGGAGCAAGCAATAACCTGTCTATCCATGCTTGTCAATATCCTAAGTGCATATGGTTGGCCACTGTGTCTCACTAAGGCTGGATTAGATGTGTCCTTGCAAAACTTCTGTCTGTCTGTCTATCTGTCATTGTCTGTCTGTCTGTCTGTCTGTCTGTCTGTCTGTCTGTCTGTCTGTCTATCTATCTATCTATCTATCATCTATCTATCTATCTCCATCCATCCATCCATCCATTCCAGTGTTTCTCAACTGTGGCAATTTTAAGATGCCTGGATTTCAACTCTAAAAATTCCTCAGCTAATCACATTGGCTTGGAAATTCTGGAGATCTATCATCTATTCTTACATTATTGCTAATATCAGCCAGTGCCTTGGCTTCTTTTCTTCAACTTTATACTTCAAATATTACATAACTTCTCAGATTTTACAAATGTACCATTTACATATTTACAATAATGCCACCAATTCTCAACTCATTGTAGTAGAGATTTTATAACTTTTCTTCAAATTCCAAGGAAAGGAAACTTTTAACAAATAAAAATAATAAAAAAACTCAGTATGTGCATTGAGAAAATGAACTCCTGTTCTCCTTTTTTTTATCTGGGCATTTCATCCAAGATTTTACTCTGTATTTTGTTTAACTTTTAATAGCAGAAAAACAACATGTTGTTTTTTTCCAGGGCCAAATGGAATTCACAAATACACATGCGATTTCCTGAAGATTTTCTGTCATTTTCCCAAAGGGAAGACAATAGAATCGTTTGGCTTCAATCCATTTGTGAGATTGAAATGACTTTCTTCCAAACCTCCAAATATTTCTGGAGGAGGCTTAATCTTAAACAGCACATGCAATGCTATCTTTAAGCTGTCTGCTTATGGAAAACATTGACTTTTTTAAAAAAAGTTTCCTACTGAGCAAACTGTTAGTTGACCTTATCTTCTGTAATATAAAAAAATAAATTCCAGAATAACTATTGATTTCAGAGGAAGACACTTCAGATCTGCTGTCTAGAGCAGCGTTTCTCAACCGTGACAACTTTAAGATACATGGACTTCAATTTCCAGAATTCTGGGAATTGAAGTCCACATATTCTTAAGGTTGCTAAGGTTGAGAAATGCTGATCTGGGGATAAAAATGATTATTTTAATGGACAAAGTGTGTGTGTGTGTGTGTGTGTGTGTGTGTGTGAGAGAGAGAGAGAGAGAGAGAGAGAGAGAGAGAGAGAGAGAGAGAGAGAGAGAGAGAGAGAGAGAGAGAGAGAGAGAGAGAGAGAGAGAGAGAGAGAGCGTTTGTGTTTGGATTCAATTGTGTATTCAATTGTTAGTTTGGAGGTACTCAAAAACCATTGGGTCTGCATGTAGGTAATCACATCAGGAGGAGAATCTTCATGGATCAAACCACATGTCAATCTAGCACATTCTCAAAAAACACCAATTATGCACTCCTAGGAAGGGCCTTTAGAAAAGCAATCAAAAGGTGATTCTTTCCCTAATCCTTTAAGTCAGGTTGAAAGGACTCCCAATCAAATGACTTGCAGTATAGCTGAATCTGGTTGATATCTCTTTTAGTTGATTTTTAAGCTCTGTTGTACTTTTTAGGTTGCGTTTGTTATGCATGGTCTTTCTTGCATGTTGCCAAAAGTCATATTGTTTGAATTGGGTAGCTGTGTATAATATAAATAAATAAGAAAGAAAACCCTCCAGGCAAGCCATAAGGACAATGGCTGCCTTGTACTTCTGTTGCTAGTATCGACTGCTGGGACACGTTATTTTTTTTTTTTGAAAGATCTGTCATCTTACCATCATACTTGGCATTGTCTCCATGATTTTGAAAAGTTGTAATAATATTCTCCATCAGCCTATTCACTATCATCTACTGCCAGTAGTTAACAGAATAAAACAGAATAACAGAGTTGGAAGGGACCTTGGAGGTCATCTATCCAACTCCCTGCTCAGGCAGGAAACCCTGTAACATTTCAGACAAATGGTTGTCCAGTCTCTTCTTAAAAACCTCCAGTGTTGGAGCACCCACAATTGCTGGAGGCAAGTTGTTCCACTGATTAATTGTTCTAACTGTCAGGAAATTCCTCTTTAGTTCTAAGTTGGATCTCTCCTTGATCAGTTTCCACCCACTGCTTCTTGTCTTCTAGTTTATCTTCTAGTTTGTGTCACATTTGTACTAGATTCCCAAATCCATCGTGAATATTTAAGTTACCTCATTCTGTATGACAGTTTTCCACAATTTGATGCCTCCAACACCAAATCCCAGAATTCTAGGCAACAACGGCGTATGAAATAGATTGCTATAGATTTTCTAACAAAAATATGGCATTTGGCCTGTAGGTTGTTCTCAGTTATTGTTAAGCATCAAATGTCATGATTTGCAATTAACCATTATTCTCTTTTGTTGCTTTTGGTTATGATTAGATAACTCCTATGATGCTGTTCGAAGATCAGGATGGGGTAATAATCTGAATTCCAGCCACAATAAAAGTGAGTCACTGTGGTACACTTTTTGCCTTGATAGGTTAATAGATGGTTTTCAGGAGAAGTTATGTTCTGAAATTTAAAACGTTATGAAGTTGGTATCAATGATTGTGTTCTCATTCTATTGCCCCACACTAATTTAATCTTCTACACCAGGGTTTCTCAACTACAACAATTTTATGGACTTCAATTCCCAGAATTCCTCAGCCAGCATGGAATGCTGGAAGTTGAAGTTCACACATCTTAAAGCTGCCAAGGAAGAGAAACACTGGTCTACACAGGTCTTGATGGAAAAATCAAATGGCAATAGAGATCTTTCCGTTGACACTTCATTTTTTTCTGGATGTTTTGTGACTTGTCTCAAGAATGGAAAAGTTCACTAGAGATTTATAAAGAGAATCCTGCCATCTCAGCTTGCCATAGTTGTTGCAGTATTTCTGTCACTTTTTCTCAACATCAGGGGTTGGGCTCATCTAAGTGACCTTGAGAATTATAGACTTTGCTAACAATATGGCATGATGCCTTGAGGGTTTACCTTCCACTCTCCAACATAGAGCTGTGGTGGTACAGTGGTTAGAATGCAGTATTGCAGGCTGACTCTGCCCACTGCCAGGAATTTGATCCTGATTGGCTCAAGGTTGACTCAGCCTTCCATCCTTCCAAGGTTGGTAAAATGAGGACCCAGATTGTTGGGGGCAAGATGCTGACTCTGTAAACCACTCAGAGAGTGTTGTAAAGCACTATGAAGCGGTATATAAATCTAAATGCTACTGCTACTGCTATCGCTATTCACATATACACATTCACATAGACAAACAAACAGAGACACACACACACACACAGAGAGACAGACAGACAGACAGACAGACAGACAGACACTTTTTGCTGCTGCAATTTGGACATTGGAAAGATTCCAGTTTCATATTCTATGCCAATTGAAGGATAATGTGTGTATGTGTGTATGTGTTGGAAAATAGAGGTTGTGAGGAACCAGTAAGAGTTCAAGTGAACTTCACATCTTTTTAGAATGAAGGAATACATATTGTTGAATTTAAAGGACATACCTATTGTTTTGGTCTCTACTGTACCCTGCTCCTTCTTTTTCCTAACCTAATCTTTCTTCTTTGCTTTGCTAGGTCCTCCTCTAGGTGGGACACAAAATGTAAGCAAAAACGGAGAACAACAGAGACCCCAGCCAGGTAAGAGTGCTGGAATGTACACAATTTTACTGATTTTAGGGGGGGGGAGAGCACATTGCTTTGTGGCCATTATCTGAATAGAGCAGTTACCAATTCTTTCTAGTAGAATTTCACTTTAGTTCAGTTCAAGGACTACCTATAGCTTTAGTTGCAAAAACTATAACCAAACATTTCTTGAGATTGGTCATTCTCAGAAAGGGAATTCATGCTCCTTCATAGATCTATACGGGTTATCTCATTTGCTAAGTTTGAGAATATTTAAAAGTATAAACTAACCACTCTACTGTTATAAGCCCCATCCTTTAGATCTCAAGGTCTGGGTAGCAGATTCCCACGTTCCTAGTACAGAAAAGTTGAGATACATTCTCTACCGTCTCCATTCTGCTTGAGGAATAATAGCACAAACTCTGATATAGAAAATGGGAGTAACCCTATATTCAAGCTAGAAATACATTTATGGCTAGTCTGTCTCTGTGCTGTACGTTCACCAACATCTAACCTCTGTCCTTTTCTCAATTTAGATCCATATCAGATCTTAGGGCCCACCAGTAGCCGTTTAGCCAATCCAGGTAAGTCCACCTGAATCAAACCTAGCCCACCCCATGAGATAATTCATCTATCTCACTCTCGGTATAAGGCAGGAGTGTCAAACTGCCAGCCCGCGGGCCGGACGCATCACGTGGAAGCTGCGCCCACCCCATTGCCGGCAATGGCAAAACCGGCCCGATATGTTGCGCGACATCACATGACGTCGCGAGTTTGACATGCCTGGTATAAGGTCACTAAATGTGTAATAATTCTTGCAATAATGAAATGCATTATCATTTATTTAAAAAAGGCGGTTATAAGCTATAGCAACATCATAAGTGAAACAGAAACTGAAAAGCAAAGATCGTTAAAATTCTTTTTTAACATTTACTTCTTTTCACTGAGCTCTGGAGCCACCACTGAGAAGGCTATGTCTCTAACACTCACCAGTCAGACATAACTTTTTGACTGATCTGTGAACAGCAAGAAGAGAAGGATATAGTTGATTCTCTCTCTCTCTCTCTCTCTCTCTCCTCTCATAGGGAGTGGACAGATTCAACTGTGGCAATTCCTCCTTGAACTGCTGTCAGACAGTTCCAACGCTAGCTGTATCACGTGGGAAGGCACCAATGGGGAATTCAAGATGACCGACCCTGATGAAGTGGCCAGGCGCTGGGGAGAACGCAAAAGCAAACCCAACATGAATTACGACAAGTTGAGTCGAGCCCTCCGATATTACTACGACAAGAACATTATGACCAAAGTGCACGGCAAGCGATACGCTTACAAATTTGACTTTCACGGCATCGCTCAAGCACTTCAGCCTCACCCTACTGAATCATCAATGTATAAATATCCGTCGGATCTCTCTTACATGCCTTCGTACCACACACACCAGCAGAAAATGAACTTCGTCCCTCCCCATCCATCCTCTATGCCGGTCACTTCCTCTAGTTTCTTTGGCGCGGCGTCACCATACTGGACTTCTCCTGCTGGAAGTATTTATCCAAATCCCAACGTACCACGCCACGCTAATTCTCACATGCCTTCCCATCTAGGCAGCTACTACTAAATGCTTTCTGTCTTCGGTGAACTTTCTCGTTTTGATTGGTTGTTTTCTTCCATTCCTGAAAATCTCTGGACTTTTTTTTTTTTTTGATACTGTTGGGGAGAAAGCTTAAAAAAAACCACCTGGATATTAATATTGTTATTTTTTATTGTAATTTTTATCAGAACAAACCTTTTATTTTTCTAATTCTGCTTCTTCTGTCTCAGAAGGGCAAATGAGTTCTCCAGTGGGCCAGTATACTGCCTTTCATTTTGGTTCAAAGGCTTTTCTCATTTATAGGACCAGCTTTACATTACATTTGTGCAGTGGTTATCACTCAAGACTGTAGACAAAGTATTGTCAAGTCAAAAGCTTTTTGGAAAAAAAAAGAAAGATCAGAACCTCTGAATCTTAGAACAAGAATGTTTGTTCCAAACTAATGGGAAATCGTGGTGGGGTGTGTTTTTTTTCCAGTTTTGAGAAGTGTTGAAGAAAATTCACAAATTTTGAGGACCTGGTTTGCAGATATCAACTGGAATTTTCGCTTTAAGGCCAATGAAGGCTTGGGTTGTTTGTTTTTTTCACTCAACTGGAAAAAAAGAGAATGAAATATAAATAAATATGTATATTTTAAAGCAACTAAGGGCATTGAAAGGACTGTGCATTAAGTTACATGGTTTTGTTAATAACTCTGGAAGCATAAGGCACCAGGAAAAAAAAAAGAAAACAGGAAGTTACAATGCATTGAGGACAGATATTCTTAAGAATGCAAAATGGAACTAATATAAAATGACAGCAACTCCACCAGCTTCAACAAAGTTTGGGGAATTGCAAATAAACATTACCGATTCACGAACGCTGTGCGTTTGTCAGTCCACTACCGAAGAGGTCAACAAAGTCAGAGGGCAACTTACTGTATAAATTATGCAAAGTTATGTTTTTAACCTGATATCTCACAGTATTAATGAAAACTAAAACGAGTTGACCTCGGTCACAAAAGCTGTTTTGTGGTTGTTGTTTCTTTTACTATCGAATCCATTTTTTAAAAAAAAAAAAATTCTTTGTACATCTTTTTAATCTGTACATTTGGGTTGCAGCTTTGTTTTGTTATTATTATTTTTTTGTTTTGCTAAAAAAAATAAACTTTAAAAAAAAAGAAAACACATGCAATGTGTATGTTGGAAAACTAAGGACACCATTTGGAAACGAACTAATGGTTATATTCAGAAATTTGGAATAAAGATCTACTACAAACCTATATTGGTTCTATACTGATTAACTGACACAGGTACCCCCCCCAAAGAAATCTGGTTATGATCCTTGAGAAGAGGGCTCAAATTTGTATTTTGAACCCTATCCAAGTTCTGTTTTCAAACTTCTCTGGAAGAAAATAAATGCTTAATTGAACCACTTAAGTCTACAGTACAGTCATGTTAGTCCAGGTAATCAAAATATCATCTTGGTTCCCTTTTCAATTAATTTAATTGATATTTATCACCTAAATTTGAGAATGAATCCAAAAATATGCAAAAGAAGAAAAAAATGTTGAGTAGGGCAAAGCCTAAGAGAGAACTAGCATTAGATGCTTTATGGACTTTAAAATGCTCTCAGAATCTTAAATTGCAGAAAATTTCTTTGAAGATCTGCCATGATCTGTTATGGTCCATAAATGAATACACCTGACAAGGGGGGGGGGAAATAAGAGGGTGTGGGAATCCAACTGAGATGGGAGAAAAAATTAATCTTTACAGCAGTCAAAATTAGAATCTTCAATATGCTGATTCCACATGTAATCACGGTATGTTAAATCTTTCCCAAAGGGTTATCAAGTGGTACCTTATAATCTGGCTGTGTAATTTTAAAAAGAAGAACTAACACAATAGCAATAAAAGTTTCATGATGCCAAATACATTGGCTCAAACACTTCCTGGAATGTATAGCTGTTGATGGAAAATAAGCAGGGCATTTATAAAGCTGTTTTTTTAAAAAAAACAAACACCTTTCCTATTGGTATTTTTGCATAGCTTTCATATTTATACAATGGATGGATGGAGATAATAGATCATAGATGACAGAGATGGAGATAGAAAGAGAGAGGATAGATAGATAGATGGATGGATGGATGGATGGATGGATAGATAGATAGATAGATAGATAGATAGATAGATAGATAGATAGATAGATAAATAGATAGATAAAGGAAGGAAGGAAGGAAGGAAGGAAGGAAGGAAGGAAGGAAGGAAGGAAGGAAGGAAGGAAGGAAGGAAGGAAAGAGATAATTGATAGAATAAACTTCAAGAGCTGCTTCCCTTAAAGTGTGCTATTCAGCTGAAGACTATGCTGAACTATAATGTGAAAAATAATGAACTAAATGGTTCTTTCCTTGATTAAAGTGAAGAATTCATACAGGGATTTTATTTTATGCATACAGATAAACTTCACTGGGCTTTTTTCCATGTGTAAATGTATAAAGATTTGTACAGTCTGTAAGTCTTTAACACCCCTGTCCTTGGAGGGAAGTTAGAAGATTGGAAATGACTAAGAACAAAGGGAGGAGATCAATTCACAGTAGGAAACCTGCAAATTCCACCCTAGTCCTTAACGCGGGGTAGAATGTTCCCGCAACCCACAGCTACTGTACAGCAGCTGATCAAAGGAATATGCTTGAAGCAATGCACATTTTGGGAGGCTTCCGCTCACCCTTGTAGTACCCCAGCAAGACCCTGTGGGGTTTGTAGTCTAATCTTTATGGGCTGTGGAATTGTTTTCCACTGCTGTCTCAGTTCTGGCAAGGAACATCCTGACCGTTGTGGGATCTTGAAATATAAAGGCTGTTCTTAATGCTTCTTCACATGAAGAAAGGAGAGAATAGGAAAGGAAATATTAGACCTATCTTGTCCGCTTTAACTGCTTTGAACAATTCTGGCAGGCTTGATGTCAGATGGAATGCCAACTGGATGGGAAAATATCCAGGTTGGGCTTCTTATTTTTGCAAGCTTTTTTTCCCTTCCCGGATGCTAGTTAATTGCATTCGTGATGCTACTTGAAAAGATACAGAAGTATTTGTGACTAGAGATGGGAAGGCCTGGAAAAAGCCTGGAAAAATTGGGGTTTTTTTCTTCCCCCCCCCTTTCCCCCCCCCCAAAGCCAGTTGGAAAAAAATGGGGGAAAAAACCTGTTTTCCCCCCCAGTTTTTACAGGTTTTTTTCCAGGCCTTCCCATCTCTACTTGTGACCAAAAACAAAATTACATTCAGGGAAAGGACCTATAACTCAGAGTGTAAGGCTGAAAGTCTGAATTTCATTCAGAAACATTTGAGATAAATCCAAGTTTAAAATCCTAAGAAGTGATAAGGAGCAAGTCACCTTTACAATGCCTTGGTAAGGCCACACTTGGAATACTGCATCCAGTTTTGGTCACCACGATGTAAAAAAGATGCTGAGACTCTAGAAAGAGTACAGAGAAGAGCAACAAAGATGATCAGGGGACTGGAGGCTAAAACATATAAGGAAAGGCTGCTGGAACTGGGTATGTCTAGTTTAATGAAGAGAAGGACGAGGGGGGACATGATAGCAGTATTCCAATATCTCAGGGGCTGCCCCAAAGAAGAGGTATTCTCCAAAGCTATTATCCAAAACACCTGAAGGCAGGACAAGAAGCAAAGGATGGAAACTAATCAAAGAGAGAAGCAACCTAGAACTAAGGAGAAACTTCCTGACAGTTAGAACAATTAACCAGTGGAACAACCTGCCTCCAGAAGCGGTGAATGCTCCAACACTGGAAGTTTTTAAGAAGAAACTGGACAGCCATTTGTCCAAAATGGTATAAGTTCATGGATGCCTCTCTATGGCCCCCAGCTCTTGATTTCGTCTTCCTATTTATTCCATCTTAGACTCAATTCTATGCCTGCATAGCTTTGAGCAGATCTTCCCATTGTCCGCAATTCTTCCACCTGTAGTAGCAATAGAAAAGTTTCCCCCTCCATCCAACGGGCCTAGGACAGGCGCCACCCTGACAGACATTATAAACTTGTGCTGTTATTAGCAAAGTTGGAAAATTGGTCTAATTGATTTCTGACTGTACAGGAAACTTTTCTCAAGTTAGAAAGGTGGCGTTTGGGGTTTTGGGGGGTTTTTCATTTTTTTGAGGGGTTGTACTATCTGGCCTCTTCTCCATCTTTCTCCTCTTTCCTGAACTGCTGATCCTTGAAGTAGAATGATAGCTTGACAGCTTTGTGGCTTCCCCTCAGTAGCCCAGACCAAACAAAGGGGATTGAAATTGACAAATGTTTGTTTTTTAAAAACTGGAACCAATGGCGTGGAAAGTCCCAGATATGTCCCTTTTTTACTATGTTCTTTCTCTCGTTTCTGTGCATGTTGGAGGTGAGATTCCCCCCCCCCCCACAACTGTTTGGCAGCATCATAGGGTGAGGGGGAAGACTTCTGTTCTTTGGTCTCAGCATCTCTATTGCAAATTGCCTTCAAGTTGCCACTGAATGAGGAGAGAGAGAGAGAGAGAGAGAGAGAGAGAGAGAGAGAGAGAGAGAGAGAGAGAGAGAGAGAGAGAGAGAGAGAGAGAGAGAGAAGAGAAAGTGAATGAGCGAGAGAGGAGAGAAAAGAGAGAAAGAGTGAGAAAGAAGAGAGAAAAGAGAGAAAGTAAGTGAGAGAAATAGAAAGAAGAGAAAGAGTGAGAGAGAGGAGAGAGGAGAGAGAAGAGAGAGAGGAAATAAAGAGAGAAAGAGAGGAGAGAGAAGAAAGAATGAGAAAGAAGAGAGAGAAGAGGGAGAGAAAGAGTGAGTGAGAGAGAAATAGAAAGGAGAGAGAGAGAGAGAGAGAGAGAGAGAGAGAGAGAGAGAGAGAGAGAGAGAGAGAGAGAGAGAGAGAACTGGTGGTGTGAAAATGCTCTCAACCAGTCTCCCAGAATGGTCTATCATTTTTTTCCAGTCCTCAGCTTTGGGGATGTTTATTTGTATTATCAAAATAGTAGCTTACGTTTATTGAGCAGGTAGAGGGAGAACAGCGCCTGAGTGGTTCTTTCTAGTTTGCAGCCTTTCTACATTTGAGA